TGCTGGAGGGGTGTGACGGAGTTGTTTTGCTTGTCGGCCCCCTGCTGTGTGTGCTGCTGATGAGGACGCTGCCCTATGGGATTAGTTTTCGGCGTCGAGGGGGAGGTTAGCGACTGATCAGCACAGTAGGAGCCTACGTAATCACTCGTCTAATCTCGCATGTTGCGCAGTCCGGAATCATTTTACGGCATAGTGGCACCAGCCAAGACAGGAATTGTATTTGACTGATGTCACGTTACGGTATATTTCGGACGCACCGAGCAGATTGTTAGAGGAACTAGGAGTTGCGTCGTGGTGAGGGTGCGGTTATGTTCGTGTGTGTCTATTATTGTGTTGTTGTTGTTGTTGTAGCTGCTACCAAGCCCTGCTCGGGTCGGTTCATCCATCAATGTTGTCGTCTGTTACAGGTAAGGTGAGGCCCAGGAAGTGCGCAACTTCAACAGGATCTGTCCATAGGGTTACGGGCGTTAGCTGGGTGGGGTTCTGGAACATGCGAAGAGGTGCCGTGAGACGTGTGGCGACTCTCCGCATGCCGGGCATTGGTTGGGCACATCGTCGTTTATTCTGCTGAGGTATGAGTTTAGCCTGCTGTCATAGCCAGAGCGGAGTTGGGCTATTGTGGTGCGGGTCTCCCGAGGCAGACAAAGTTCTGTCCCGGCCATGTCGTCTGGTTGTGTACCCAGAGCAGCATTCACAGGTCGAGAGTCTACATAACTCGAGAGCGACTCGTTGTGAATACCGTTAAATGTATGTCGGTATGCAGTTGGGTCCAGAGGTTATTTTATGAACCTCTGCACTTCGTCCGTCATTTCGAAGAGGTGCCTCCTAACGTGCCTTGGCGAGGGTTCTTCTGCAAGCAGCTCTCTATTTGGATGACCACGTCTGTGGCTCCCCACTAGAAACTGTTTGCAAAGCATGGTGTTACGCTCCTTGATGGGGAGCATCTGGGCCTCGTCATGTAGATGGTGTTGGGGCGACATCAGAAGGCAACCGATCGCTGTCCGAAGTGCCGGTTTTGGCAGGTCTGCGGCTTCATCCACTGCGTCCTGCTAGTCCCCGGCGACCACACGGGCGCTGCATAGTTTAGAACCGGCTGTCCAATTGCCGTGTATGTTGCCAACAACGTTTCTTTGTCTTTGCCCCAAGCGCTGCCGGCCAGCGACTTGAGGACTTTGTTGCGGCTCTTACTCTTTTGACAATTGCGGTTGTATGCGCCGAGAAGGAGAGCAGACTGTCGAAGGTTATTCTGAGGATCTTCGGGTTTTTCACCGAAGCGAGAAAGCTCGGCGAGATAACCATTTACTTTCGAGCACAAGTCATCAATTCCATTCCTAGACGCCATTATCGAGCAGTCGTCAGCATAAGAGACAATAGTGACTCCCTCAGGTGGTTGAGGGGGCTTTGAAATGTAATAATTAAACGATAGCGGGGATAGGACACCACCCTGTGGTACCACCTGTGTGGGTGCTGATTTGCTCGGGCGAACACCGGTGTGCCGTGGAGGTGGTCCGGTTTACGCAGCATGGGGCCACGTAGGATGTGGCCCACTGCCGATGAGTTCTTAAGCCCGAGCAAGTGCGTAGGTGGCTCCACCCGTTGTAGGTATTGCACCTGACCGAGGCGTAGTTAGAATGCAACCGTCTCTGGCATAAGAAGAAGGTGTATGTTTCTGGCCCTGGGTTGACGTTTGAGGGGTTTCGCCGACCTAAACGGGGTTAGATCGCCGAAACAACAGCCCTTGGTCCAAGTCCCGAAATCCCGGGATAACAGCTCCTTAATCCCGCGATTTTAAGGCTGGTTTTCACTATGTCAAATCCAGTGATATTTGTCGTCAAATAAGTGAAAGCACATTGTCAAAAGGCATCAGAAAACAGTTTATCGATTGATTTGGATCAGGATAGGCCTTTAGTTGTGTACATGAGCTACGAAATCGGCTGTATGTCAGTTTTCGGCCCATAATATCATCGGTAAAGGTCTCGATAAAGGAGATAAAATTGTGTCAAAATATGTCGCCAAATATTGGCGTCAAAATATGACATAGTGAAAACCAGTCTTTACTGATTTATTTGCAGAGAGAAAAGGGATGCTGTAAATGAAAAAATTAATTCAAAGTTATTTGAACTCGGAAATGAATCTTCTCAACCCGAAAACAGAATTAAAATGAATCCATGTAAATATTTGAAACTCCATAACCAATTTAAGAATGAAGCTATTAGAGTAGCGGATCTCTACTTGATCGGAAATGACGGATAATTTGAATATATCTTAATATAAATTTAAGCAAGAGCTAGTTTCGATAAATAGTTAAGATAAGAAGTGAAATAATCTAAGAAAAATGTATGGTTCGTTTATTTACAGAAGAAACTATGCGGTTGTCATAATTAACCTAGTTGAATCATTGCTTATGTAGATTAAAGTTATAAATGGCTAACAAACTCTTAGAAAATAACTATAAATACTGGCTTTAAGATAATATAACTTCCTCCTTGATGTGTCCCTGCTCGAGTTTCTGCGAAAGCTCTGCTTCTGCTACACGTTTTTGCAAATGACGCCAAAGAGTACTTTTCGGTATATCAAATAAATTTGCGGCATGATTCTGTGACATTCCCTCGTGTACGCAGGCATGCAAGGCTTTAGTTAATTTGTCTTTTAACTCAATCTTCGAATTTACGTCACGTTTTTTAAAGGAAACATAGTCCGGAAGACGTCCCTGCTGTGCCAAACGGACCTTATGTCGATGTAGTGTTGACATTGGTATATCTAATTCCCGACTGATATTTTTTAGTGAATCGCCTCCTTTTAGACGCTCGTAGGCCATAGTAAGCACTGGATTTTCTCTAGCTGTTTTCATATAATTTGGATGCTTGCGTACTCTTCGCCAAAGGACAGTTTTTGAAAGATCATATTTTTGAGCAGCCTTTTGCAAACTCATACCTTCATTTATTACTGCCTGAACAGCGTAAAAGAGACCATCTTCTGGGGCACCTGGTGCAGAATTTAGAGAAGCATAGGTATCTTCAGTCTTTAATACTGATATTGGATCTGCAGTGGGGTCAATTGCTGTATACAATGATTGATGAATTTGATCAGTTTCTGTATTGGTTTGAGATTTAATTTTAATTGTTTTAATTTTTGGTGTTGATTTTATTTGAATAAGTGGTTGCGGCACTTGAGAATTTGTTAAAGTGGCAGTTGCTTTAGGAGTGGTTGAAGTTGCAGTATTTGCAGCGATCTCAATAATAGGATCAGCGCTGTTGCTGCTGTATTCCTCTATTATATGAGCATCTTCAGTAGTATCTTCCATCTCAACCAACTTTTCTGAATCAGAGTTGGATGCATTTTCGAGCTTATTATTTTGAGTTAACGTAAATGTTCCGGAATTTTCAGTTAATATATATTCATTTGCAGTGCTGGCGACCGGCATGTGCTCGATGGAGTACGTAATTTTACTGTGTTGAGCATCGTTATAGACATCCAAAAATTCCAACTCTCTTTCATGTTGGATAACATTTTGCGTCTAAAAATAATAATTATTATGAAATGAGTATTTTACAGTTTATATATTAATATAACAACCTAATTGTAACTTCAAAGCTAACAAAAGTTCCAGGGTTTTTTAGATATATCGCACTATAAAAGAACATACCTCGATTTTCTCTACGGCTATATTTTCTTGTTGCTCGATTAGTTCTTCTTGTGCAATCTCTATGTTAGTTATTGTTTTTACTGGAATTGTTGCCGGAACTGCTGTAGACAATGTTGCATTGTTACATTCAAAGCTTATGGCACTTTTTATGCCCAAAGTATTAATAGCTTCCAAGAATTCTGATAGATTGGTTGAGGTTAGGCTTGTTTCGCCAACGTAAATAAAAGCCAACACACTCTCCAAAAGTGATCCTTTAATGTCTGGCACAACTATTGTGGCCTCCTGCCCCATTGGTATATCCACCAGGAGATTGCGAAGTAAGTCTGAACATGATGAGAGAACGAACCGATGCGCACGCACGGAGTGACCTTTAGCCACTAATGTCACCTCACAGCTTTGTGGATCATTACGCAGATTTCTTTGTATATCAAAAATCGTTGCCGAGTGGCCCATCCACTTCAAATGATTCATTTTAGTTGGGATAGCCGAATTTGTTTGTTGTGTTTTAATTTCAGTATAATCTAGATTTAGGAACGTCAAGTATCTCTGAAAATTCTATGGTTCGAAAAAAATTCACAAATTCCATACGCTACGGTCCGAAAACGAAATGGGGAACCATTTCGGAATTAAGGCAGGGTTGCATTGCAAATTCCTTGGTGCTGGAACGAGATTCAGCATCTGACATGAAGCTCTGTTCCATTTTACAAAGAACGTAAATCCATAAGAGGAGACAACACGTTATAATTGTAGCGAGTGAGAACATCAGGAGCGTGCCTTCTCTTTTCATCCAATCAGAAAACGTTTTTGGGCAAAAGAGAAAGCACGCTCCTGATGCTCCCATTCGTTACAATTATAACGTGTTGTCTCTTATAGATTTACGTTCTTTGGTAAATGTAATATTAGACAAAGAACGTAAATCTATATACATTTACGTTCTTTGTATAACACCCGATTTACATGATTCAAGTACTTGAAAGCAATTCTTGCTCATTTTCTTTTGTGTTTTCTATTTGCTTTTACACGTTTCAATTCTGTTGAATTCAAGTTTTTGGTTCTTTAAATGTGAAGCAACGAAAATGCCAAAAGCACACATGTGTACTCGTTCCTGTTCTTCTAACCCCCTCTCTTCGACAAGCGAGCAGAATTGAATTCAATACTTGAACTGTGTAAAAGCAGTCAAGGTTAAAAAATTTAGAGATATTTTTGCGGCCAAAGATTTTCAATTATGATTTTTAATATTTAAGTAAAGCTTCACATTGGTGCTGAATCAATGAATAAAGATTTTATAAACCTTTATTTTTAATCGAGTTAATAAATTTAATAAAGGTTTATAAAACTTTAAAATGCAACATTGCCATATATGTATGTGACATCAATTTGACAACTGTCTGTTATATAAACAGCTGTAAAAAAACTAGATTGGTGCAATTTCAAAGAAATTTAACCTTGCGATTACGGCAAAATGGCAGCGATAATAAGACGTCTAGGTTGCAGGACAATTGCCAATTTCGCTGCTAACCGTGGTAAGTAACTACATTCCAAATGAAAAGCTCGTTATGTATACAAATCATTATTATCAGTTGCTTCACCTGTAACAGCCAATGTAATCCGCTTTTCAAGCACCACTCCTGCATCAGCAGCGGAGCAAAAACGTGAGTAGATTTGGCACAATGTTGACAATACGGATTTTTTTTTAAATTATGTTGTTGTAGCAACCTTCCGTAAGCCTGATGAAGCCGTCAGACTTAATTTAAGCAACTTTGGACGCTATGTTGCAGAATGCCTTCCCAAATATGTCCAAAAAGTGCAATTGACTGCTGGTGATGAACTTGAAATTTTGATTGCACCTGAGGGCGTAGTTCCTGTACTACAGTTTCTTAAAGACAACCATTTGGCTCAATTTAGTAATTTGGTCGATATTGCCGGTATGGATGTTCCAAGCAGGCAGTTCCGTTTCGAAGTAATATACAATCTCTTGTCTTTACGCTATAATTCGCGAGTACGAGTCAAAACCTACACCGATGAGCTGACACCATTGGATTCATGCAATGAAGTGTTTAAGGCAGCCAATTGGTATGAACGAGAGATTTGGGACATGTATGGTGTGTTCTTCGCAAATCACCCTGACTTGCGACGCATTTTAACTGATTATGGCTTTGAAGGACATCCGCAACGTCGCGACTTTCCTTTGTCCGGCTATGTTGAGGTACTATAATTTGATTTTATTAATTTACAAATCCTATTATTCTAACTGTAATAACTTTGTAATATTTAGCTACGTTATGACGATGAGAAAAAACGCGTTGTATGCGAACCACTAGAATTGGCACAGGAGTTCCGTAAGTTTGATTTATCAGCACCCTGGGAACAGTTTCCTAACTTCCGTAATGCCAATCCACCGGCAGAGGCCGTCGAAACCAAACAGGAAGCAATCAAGAAATAAATCATTAGATAATAGCTAAAGTGTAGATTATGAGTTGTTACGAACTACACAATAGAATCAAATATGAAGATGTTATTGAAATGAAAACGATGCTTTAACAATGTAGAATTTGTATTATTTAATGGGTATGTGTACAAAAAGCGCTGCAATGTAAAAATTCAATCGTAATAAAATTTCGAATCGAATTATGTAACGAATGAAGTCTTATTCTGGCGATAAAACAATATTAATGTTAAAAATTATAGTCGCGTTATTTTTTAGATCATATTAAAGAAATTGAACAGGCGGGGGAATAATATAACGCAATAACCACCATTTTACCAAATTATTTTTATATTCATACTTAATCGAAGTGATACTTGGAAAAGAGAATCGGTTTCCAATCTTTTTTGAATTTTTAATCAAGCCCAGTGTAAATTGACCATATAGTTTTCTTTATTTATTCTGAACTAACATTAAAAAAAAAAAAGTTTCAAACATTATACAAGATTTATAAAACATCGTCAAATTTCTAAAAATAGTAAACAAAATTTCAAACTTTTTAATGAGCATTTCTAGAAAAAAATGTGGGTATGTAGTTTTATAGCACATTTTCACAAATATAAAAAGTTTTCGAGCATTGTATGAAAAAAATGCGTAAACCATCAAGAACAAAAATCTTAAAACCCCACACGAATTCTTAGGAGCTTGAAACTTGAACAATATTATACTAAAATTGCATAAGCTATAAAACTTCATACAATAATTTGTTTCTAGAAAATCTGATTAAACTGTTCGAACTGACCTTTTTTTGAAATTTGGCGAATATTTATAAATCTTGTACAAGGTTTGAAACTTTGATTTGCATTACAAATAAATATCGAAACTTAAAAAGAAATGTGTCCCTAATTATTTATCCAACCACTCTATGCACTGTACTATGTTACCTTAATATGGAAAGGTCCTATCTCACATCGTCGATGAAATGCAAAAAAGCCGTAACTAACTAAAATTTTTCATTGCGTACAACGATGTGGGGACTTATAATTTTGATATGCATTCAATCAAAAAGTGAATTTTGAATTTTTAGTTAGTAACGGCTTTTTGTGTTTCCTTATGAGATAGGACATTTCTATATTAAGGTAACGATACATATGTATGCACATTAGGGTGGTTCCTAAATGTAGGAAGCTAATTTTTACATCAGATTTCCTAAGCCTCAACACCTACATACGTCGATACTACTATAGTCGAAGATATCACATATAAATTTTGGTCCCGATTGGAGACGCTTAAGGCGTGTCGCACAGGTGGCACAGTTCAGATTTCTCTATGGCGACTCAAAAAGGTAAAATTATTATTTTTTTCATCTAATACCCAAAATCGGTACTACCATAGTCGAAGATATCAAATATAAATTTTGGTTCCGATTGAGGTCGGTTAAGGCGTGGCGCCGGTGGGGTCAAGTTCAGATTACCCTATGGAGACGTCTTAACCGACACCAATCGGGACCAAAATTTATATGTGATATCTTCTACTTTAGTAGTATCGATTTTGGCTATTCGGTGTGAATTTCTAGCAACGTGTTATCATTTGGGCAGTTGCAACAGTGATACAAATTCTCATCAGTGCGGCAGTAATGCCGCTTTTATTACGTGCCTCGAACAGTCCCGTAGTTGCCTTTCGCATCGCATTGCGCATCACAGAGGAGCCCCCCAGTTTTCTAAAAATGTATCTTAGCATAAATTTGCTTGTGTATTTTTATTAGTTAGATTGGAATAAAAACAACGATTGTAATATTATCCTCCGTTCGGAAATGCATCAACATAAAGCATCAGTCTCTTACTTCTAACCTATAATTGATGGAAATGTCCAACGTGCGCAATCACCTTCAAATGCCGAATTGAAGCTTAGTTGCCAAAAATGGGCATTTATATTACCCATAGTTTAGAAATAAGAGAGGCTGATGTATTTCAATGATGAAGAATAACTCGTTTTAACACACTTAACACGCATTATTGTAAAATTTATGTTAAATTTAGTGCAGTTTGATGAGATGAGATGAGAATATGCATATTCATTTTCTGAATTGTGATAGTCCATTGAAAACGCATGCCCACAAAAAATAGCGTCTTTGCTGAGATGTGGGTTTATTAAAAAGATTCTAGTGATTAAAATTTAGTTGCCTTTTCTACTGTCAGCAACCCTACGTGACGTATCATATGATAACAGGTTCTAAAAAATGCTAAAAACACACACAGATACCCAGTAAATGCATGTATGTATATGTAAACCGGCAAACCTCTTCCGCCGTTGAGCTACTCTCTCTTCAATGAAAAACCAAAACAAAGAGCGTTTCTGAGGACTAGGCGAAAGCAGCCCCATTGTGGTTGTTTGTGGCGCCACTCATTTCTAAAAGCATTTCATAGTGCATACAAACACATGCACACACCCAAATAGTGAATTTTGCAATTATACAATTTCATTGTTATTGGTGGGCAAGGAGAATTCGCTTCGATTCACTCTTTCATAGCGTATTTAATTAAATATATTTTTTTATTAGTATTATTATTAGAATGCCGCTTTAGGTAATTCTTCATCAGACGGCCAACGAAGAGCCTGGGTGAATAATAATCTGGGTGTTGCGGAAGAGTGAAAAATGTTGACATCGGCATAGAATGAAATCAGCAAGATAACGAGAAAATATACTAATAACAATTATGACACAATAGATTTTGTGCAAGGTGTTTCCTTTTTGGTTCATACTAAATTTTACTCAAATAATAACGCAGAACTTTGTAAAGATATAAGAAGGAACCTATACATACATAAATACAAACATTTGCCATATTAGTAAAATTTATTTATTATTAATTTCGAGTAAGTGAAAATAAAAGTGATAATGGAAGCTATTTCCAACTACTTTGCGAAAGGTTGGGCGCTGGTTATAGCCGATTTGCTAAGCCTGATAACAGTATCATCCTGTCTGGTTATTAAGGTGCCACAAATCAATACCATACGGGCAAATAAGTCGTCGCAAGGTAAGTAAAGAAGAAAGGATGCCACTGTTGGAAGTTGTTTAGATAATAAAAAAATTACCGAAATACATAAATACATAATGAGTATATATATTTGGTATGTATAGTAAAGCTATTACGCATGCATATAACTATGGTGTCGAATAAAAAAATTTCAAACTTTGTGCAAAAATTATGAAAAATCTGCAAAGTTTCAGCTAAATTTTCAACTTTTTATTAAGATTTTTTAGATTTAGATAAAGGTTTTTTCCATACAAAAAAATAATTGTCGAATTTATTTTGTATGGGAAAAAATTTGTAATGCAGTCAGAAAAAAAAATATTAAAGATCAACGCAATTTTTTAGCAACTTAAGACTTGCACATTATTACCCTAGAATTGAGTGGGTTATTAAACTGCATACTCAAAAAAATCTGAATAAAAAGTTGAAAATTTAGCTGAAACTTTGCAGATTTTTCATAATTTTTGCACAAAGTTTGAAATCTGGATTTATATGGTGTTTGTTATATAAGGTTTGTTCGTCGAGCAAAAAATTTGTACGAATTTGTACGAATTATCACGATTTTTGCACAAAGCGCGTTCGTGCAGACCAAAAAATTATCCAACACTCAAAAATTGTGAGAGCAAAGTGACAGTTCTCTTGGAGAGAAGTTGCAAATTCTTCCTGGAAAAAATTTTGCCAGCAAGAATTTGCAAACACGAAAAACATGTGGTTGTGGCGCATGGTTGCATTTTTGTCTACAATAATTTGAATAAATTAGTTCGTTAAATTTAAAAATTTATAAACACGAGCGATTTTTTTATGAAAAAAGGAAGTAAATAATTGTTGATATAATTAATTTAGTTAATTCCAATGATTTGAACTTAATTCGGCTGAAAAAAATGGTATTCGCAATCGGAATGCAATTGCAACCAGAGTCGATTTAAGAAACCCGACAGCTAGTACGATGAAGAAATTGAAATGTATGTTAAAGAAAGTCAGAACAACAAGAAATATACATGTATATCCTGTTTTTGGCCATCCGAAAGAATTTTAAAAATTCTATAAAAATTTTTTATGTTTGAAATGCAACCGTGGACGCCAGCTGGCAGCGAAACTTGCAAATTCCTGCAAATTTGCGTTCGTGCAGAAATTTGCAAGTTTCTCAACATGAGAGAGAATTTGAGAGAATTTTTTCTTACTCTCTGATATTTTGAGTGTTGGATAATTCTTGCTGGATTTTCGACGAACAAACCTATAATGAGCTAGACTTCTATGGTAAAATAATAAACATTGAATAAACGAAAGCAAAATAATCAAAATTTATCAAAATGTGGCTGGCTTATTTACCTGATCACAAATGTATAGATATATCACTCAATCAATTAAATCCAAAAGGTTGCGTCGGATTTTGTCCCACTACATCACAACTTTTGACAAAAAAAATTATGTAAACTGTGTGCAATTTTACGCATAAATAGAAGATATGTACCATGTAGTTTAATTAAAGCCCTTAACAAAAACCTTAAATTGTTCCACAGTGTTTTATTTTCGAAAATGGGCTAGCCGCACCTTTAAAGTCCGATTTATTTAAGGTTCGTATTCTTATCATTTTATTAGTGTATACACCATGAATAATAGTCTATCGCGACGATTTCGCTAGAGATATGAGAATATGGAATATTGTATTAATAATAATTTATTATACGTAAATTACCTACGTACATAGTTTGATATTTTATTTATGAGCTTGATATTTCTTATCATTTCTTACATTCGCCCATTTCAGGAATTAGCGTAATTGGTCTATGCCTAGAACTTTTCAGCTACACTGTGATGATATCATATAACTATAGCAGTAGCTATGAATTTCTCTCGTATATGGAATACCCTATACTGCTCTTGCAAGAATACGTGCTCATTTACTATACGTTCTTTTATCAAGATTTGTTGGGCGCCCGCACGCAACTAGTAGCGGTTTTGTATGCCATCGTGGCAACGCTGATATATTTTAAGCTTTTCCCGCTCATAATACTCACGTTTTTAGTGGTAAGTTTTTATTTTATGTTAGCATTTTTATATAAATACATAAACACATATCTAATACTAACAGAGGCAAGAAATAAAAACAGTTAAGTAATACCTTACAAAATTATGAACCATCGAATTTACATCTATTTAAAAAACTAAAACTAAACTAAATAGCTTTTTTAAGTTTTGTCCTCCCTCCATTGCCATAGGCACTATCATGCTATTGTGTTTGTACGTAAAGCGCTATCTCTTTTTCTAAAAAGTTCGCCTCGTCCCTAACCGCGGAGGTGTTATAAGTTCAAAGTTTGATAAATTTGTTTAATGTTCAGTAAAAGTTTAGAAACTTTCGAGTCTTTTTACAGTTTAAAGAAAAAGCCATGGCGATATGTTTAGGAGGGTTATGGCAGTTAGTAGATCAAAAAAATTGCAAAAAATTACTTGATCAATTAGTTATGTGTTACTATATTAACTGACTTTTACAATGCATGTTTTACAGCCATTTTGTACACCAATCGGCGCCACAAGTAAAGTATTACAGTTGATAGAGATTTTACGCTCAAAAGATGCTTCTTCTGTTAGTCGAACAACTTGGGCATTATCAGCATTCACCAACATGAGTAAGTTATTAAAGATATCCAAGTTCTAAATTCTTGTCTTTTAATATAATTTTTACTATCTCATTTAGCTCGAATTTATACGGTTTATGTGCAATCAAACGACTCCATGCTGCTTAGCAATTTCTTAATATCTACCTTCCTAAGTTCATCGGTGTTTGTCGCAGCATGCGTTTACAGGAAGAAAGCCAAGTCAGATTAAAAGGAAAAATATTAAAAAAAAAAAACGACTGGAAAATGTGTCTTTTTTCCCCACAATTATAATTACAATGCCAATTTTTAAACTTTTCGGTTACAAAATGTTCGGTAACGTTAAGAATAGGCCTGCAAATATCCATAAAGGAAGAAATCCTAAAAATCATATTGAGATTCAGTAAAAATTATTTATTATAGTACGACTTTTACTTTGTTTACCGTTACATACAAAAATTAACTATTGTATAAAATAACGAAGGAAGCAGACACGTGTTTGGTTTTTAATTAATAATTCATTTAAAGGAATGGGTAAAGCAGAAAAAATGTATTAAAACTTCAGAGATTTATTATTTATGTTTTGTAATAAATTATAAAAAATTAATCTGAAAACTTTTTGTTATCGATTGTAGGTTAAAGCCCTGTATGCAGCTCTCAAGAAAACGGTCAAGAAAAAATTGCCATTATTTCGCGTGTGTGTCCAAGGAATTTTGACATTTTTGATACCTCACAGCCTCTTACCTCACTCTTTCCTCAAGAAATAATGGAACGGGCATATATTTCTATTGCAAACCTGGGTTGCCTTGTGCTCTTTTTTCACAAAAAACTTTAGAAAACCGTAGTAGAAAGCGTAGTAAATTTCTTAAGAACTGCGTACTGCCTTAAGGAAATTTGACTCAAGAAAGGTTCTTAGCCATTTCTTGTACGCCATTTTATATGGAGTTTTTGCTTTTCTTGAGAGCTGCATACAGGCCTTAAGGGCTATGGTACACATGCGTACCACACATGGGTACCTACCGATGGTACAATATTCCCCATAAAAAAGATGTATGTATATTTTAATCATCAATGGTTATCACTAACTTAATTAGTTTAATCTAATAATTGAATATCCTGTTTTTCCGAATTACTTATGTTTTCTTCATGAACACATTTTAATTTAATTTCTTGCATCTCTTAACTCTCCGCATAAAATGCCACAGCTATGGCTAAAGCAACCGCTACTATAATACCACCATAAATGCTTACTAATTTCCAATTAATCTCTCTTTTCGTCTCTTCCACGACGACTTTACGTTCCTTATATTTGCGCTTGGTAAATTTCTTTTCAAATTGTTCAACTTCTGCACGATTTTTAGCTTCTTCCAATTGGCGTAATTTTTCAGCTTCGCGCTTCTTTTGATCTGTTAATTTGGCGCGTGTTTCAATGCACAATTCGTCGCATGGAATCGATGTTTGACCGGCGCGGTGTTTATCGCAAGCTATTTCGGCTTTTAGCCGTTTGCATTCGCAAAATATGCGTACTTTTTTGCGGCATAGTTCTGGATTCGGACATTTTCCTGGATGGCAGGCAGTGTGGCAGCGATGTCCACATGGAAGCTGAAACGTATTATTAAAAATTTGTTATCTACACACATTTAAAAAAAAAAATTGTATTAAGGTATTCTTACATTTTTAAGGCAGCGATTGCCACAGCTTTTTAAACGTTCTTGTCGGGCAATTATTTCTTCTTCAGTACCATCCTCTGAAAAAAACTCGGAGCATTTGTGCAGTACTTGTGTTAATCCGCAGTAGCATTTGTTTTTGATAATTTTGTCACACGGATAACATGGTGGCGGATGACACGGCCGCGGACAGGCATGAACGCAGCCCTTGGGACGTGGTACATTACAGCCTTCTTGGCATCGGGCGCATCCCAATTGTTCCTGAAAACCAAAAGTTGAAAAGCGTTGGGTTTATATAGGAATTCAGTCGTAATTATTTGGAGTGGAAGTATGGATTTGAGTAGGCCGGGCAACCATTAATGGAATGCACCAAAAGCAAGTATGGATGCGGGAAACTGGGCTATCGTAAGATACATATGTGGACATTTTTTTATCTCGACCCGAATTACAAAAGGTTTTAATTGAGGTGTCGTACGAAAGGGTACACATAAAAAAAAAAAACAAGTACTTTTTAAGCAAAAAACAAAACAGACTTCAATTCTCATACAAAAAATTCGGAGTACCGTTAATTTCTTCATGATCCAATGATCGGATCTAAACCAAAAAATGGGATTCTGATAAGAAAATCCACCAAGACTTAACTGTAATCGGTGATATTAGTGCTGCAAAGTCAGAATTAACATATATGTCGATCAGTGATGACAGGTAAGCCCCAGATGGGTTCTAACATAACAAAGTAATTTTTGTGAAAATTGCAGATAAAGGGTATTGAATATAAGCACTCGATATGCTTCCTCAGTATTTTTTATATCCTTTCCAGAAATCAACGACAATGCGTTTCTATTTTTTTTTTAGCTGCGCTTCTAATTTTTTTAGCTATTACAGTATCTGAAGCACAACATTTGCCAGGGCTATAAGAACAATAAAAATCCTACCTTCATATTTTGCAAGTCCGGTACCGAATGGCATACTAGTTCACATTTGTGGTTACCACAGCGCAATTCACGATTGCACATCCGTTGACAAGATGTCGGTTTAGAGTTCCAACAAGGCCAGTCAGCTACTTCATGACCTCCGATGCAAGTAACACTCACTGGTTTTTCACACGATGGGTGAGGTAACGTTTTAAGTTCAAACTGAAAATAATAACATTCCTTTCAAAGGCTTACACATATGTGTCTGTGAACTATGGATATTTACCTTTTTATTTAAATCCCAAACATTCGTAGTTCCATTCATTGGATTTTGCTTAACAACTTTTACCGCAGCGTGACATTTGGCTTCGCAAGTATGCTGACATCCTGTTGTAGTATTTGGTTGTCCACATTTTTGATTACAAGGTGGACATTCATTTTTGTGGCAGCGATGTTTATTAGGATGGTGACATTTGGAAGGGATTCTGGTAATTTTAATGTTAATCTGTGGGTAGAATATCCATATAACAATGAGGTAATGTTGAATTTACCGGCATAATTCCATGCACATAACACGTGCTGTACGTTCACGTCCACATGGCACACGCTTCGATGTTTTTCCACATCTGCAATTCACTTGCGACTGCTGCGTACAGGGATAACAGGGTCCTTCATGACAAACCGACTGGCATTTGTGTTTCTGACAAGTGAGTGGTCTACCACAGATTTTATCACATTGCTGGCATGTTCGTCCATCGCAACACTGGTAGGTAGTAGAGTAAATGCGAAATTTAAAATTAAATATATTGTTTTTACAGATTTTAGTAAACTTTTGAGTTGAAATAATATATTTATAAGTATGCATATATAATATATTTTATGTACATATAAAGTTTTAAGTGCAATGATTTTTTCGTGCATCCTTTTATAAACTGTTAAATAAAGTATAGAGAACAATGGGATTTACGATCTGGACTTTAAATTACTACTTTTGGAAAAGAGTTCGGCGTGTAATGTACTTTACCTTTTTATTGCAGGCGTGTTTACCACAATCTCGCATCTGCTTGCATTTAGTTTCACATGTAAAATTTTTCCAACAAGGTAGTTCTTTTTCATGTATACCACATCGACACGTCTTCTTTGTTATGATTAAGCACTGCAAAATAATTATTTAATTCTTATCTCTTAAGAGATGCTATGATATATATATGTATATATAAAAAAAAAAAAAATGAAATATAGTGAGCCCTACCAAATTACATTCTCCCCGATGACAACGTTGCGTGCATGCATGCAATCCGCACGACAAAAGCTTTTGGCATGTATCGCCACAGGGATCTATGGTTTCGGTGCAGGGCACAACCTTTTTCTATAACAATACAATATTAATACAAATTGGCTTTGAACAAAGTATTTTTACGTACAGTTTTTCCACATGGACAAGATCGTGGTAGACTCAGAGGACAATCGCCACAAGGCCCCGAATGGCATACGCGTTTGCATGTGTGAGCCCCACATGAATAGTTAGATCCGCACACCTAGTGAACGACAATTTTATGTAATAGGATTACATATATACAATAAATATATACTACTACATATTATCTAATTATTTTCTCACCTTAATACAGTGCCATTTTAAATCGGAACAACTACGTTTTTTCACCTCGTTTCCACATTCGCATGACTGCAAGCTAGTACTAGTACACGGTGGGCAGTGGTTAGGTTTGTGGCATAACTCCTGGCATTGGTGTTCGCCACAAGAGAGCAATTCCTTACACTAATAAAATACGTATAAAATAGTTAGTCGTTTGTAATTTTGTACCTTGAGTTACTCACCTTTCTTTCGCATTTCCACTCCTTGTCTATACAACGAACCGGTTTTCTTGGTGATTTCCCACAAAGACAACTCGTATTTGCATATTGTGAGCATGGTGGGCATGGACCTGGATGACAAAGCAACATACAAGTGTGACCACATGCCGGTTGCAGTTTTTTGCCGCATATTTCTCCGCATGAATGCGGCAAAAGGAATGAATCGGGTTTCGGATTTGCTTCTTTGCCACAAAAACACTCGTATGTCGATGGCTTTTCTTCGGGAGTGTAATCTTTACGACACTGGGGACAGCTCCAATGCAATGGGCGCTTCCTTTTCGGTGCCACATACTCTCCAAGATTGTTATAGTATCCTTGATCAGTAGTGGACTTTGCTTTCATCTGGGCAACACTATCATTGGCCCATCGACGAATGCAGTTTAAATGAAAAAAACAGTAGCAATGCTTGCAGGTCCATATTGCATCTGCTCGGCGCACGCTACCAATGCAGATTACACAAGTTGCTGAGCCCGAATGTAAAGCATTTTCAAAGAATGTTGCAGTCTTTTGGTGGATCACCGATTTGCCATCAGTTGTAGCAGACTCAAAATTGTAATGTTTATAAAGGGAATCTGAAACAATTTCATAGTAAATTATTATACATAGTTAACAAGGTATAATGTTATTCCGGCACCTAAAATTTTGCTTTCATTGAGTTCCTCCTCATCCTCGTCCGAGCTGGAAGCATACTTCTCAACTATTTTCTTGGCGGCGGCTATATTCCTAGCGTGCTCTTCTTCAAAACGTTTCACTCCATTGGATTTTTGTTGGGCCGGCACAGAATTGTTCTTCATTTTTTTGGTTTTAGCAGAAAAGCTAGACATTCTTGAAATTTTCACTACTTGACGTGTAAATGAAAAACTAATTGGTCAAACTGCTGATTAGCGGTGTGACCAGATGATCCCAAAAACCGTGGCTAAATTGGTTTTGAAAAAAGGTTAGGAAAAGTTATACCCTGTGAGAAATGAGGTTAAAAAGATGCCAGTAAATGTTTACATGTTCCCATCAGAATACAAAATAACATTTTTCAGGTTAATTACGTATACATTACTTCAAGGCAGGGTACGAAAATAAACTGTACAAAACAATTCCCATTTGCTCATCGAGCATCATATCATTTGTGGTTTTGTACAGTT